GACAGCAGGGCTCGGCTGGCTGCCGAGAGCTCGGGGCTGTGTCGTCCCCTTCCCCAGCTCCCCACCCCTTCCCCCATCTTGTACCCCACAATTCCATCCACCTCTGCCCTGGTCCCCCTGCCTGCCCCACTCCTCCAATCTCCACAGGGGCCCTGCCGAAGCGAAATCGACGCCACGCTCCAGGTTCCGTGGCCGAAGCGAAATCGACGCCACGCTCCAGGTTCCGTGGCCGAAGCGAAATCGACGCCACGCTCCAGGTTCCGTGGCCGAAGCGAAATCGACGCCACGCTCCAGGTTCCGTGGCCGAAGCGAAATCGACGCCACGCTCCAGGTTCCGTGGCCGAAGCGAAATCGACGCCACGCTCCAGGTTCCGTGGCCGAAGCGAAATCGACGCCACGCTCCAGGTTCCGTGGCCGAAGCGAAATCGACGCTGTGCTCCAGGTTCTGTGGCCGAAGTGAAATCGACACCACACTCCAGGTTCCGTGGCCGAAGTGAAATCAACGCCGCGCTCCAGGTTCCGTGGCCAAAGCGAAATCGACGCCACACTCCAGGTTCCGTGGCCGAAGCGAAATCGACGCCGCGCTCCAGGTTCCGTGGCCGAAGTGAAATCGACACCACGCTCCAGGTTCCGTGGCTGAAGTGAAATCGACGCTGCACTCTAGGTTCCGTGGCTCACGGGAGGGAGCCCTTCCCACACAAGCAGCAGCGAAGCGCCTGGCTCCGTTCCCCTTCCCTTGACGGTCCCCCCGCCCCCGTGAAATTTACAGAGATGCAGGCAGGGTGAATTAGCCCTGCAGTTTAAAAAAAAATACCCACTACCCCCAATGGGGGTAAGGAAACTGAAACCAACCAGAAACGCTGCTGCAGAACGGACGGCCTGAGATCACGTCCGTGGGCCTCTGGGGCTGGCAGCCCCTGTGCCACAGCCTCCGTGGGTCAGGCTGTGGAGCTCGGTGCTGGAGTCGGGGGCCCCCTTGCATGGGGACCACCCAGCGCTCAAATGCCCTTGAGGAGGGCAGGAAAGCAAAATGGGCCGGACCCTATGTAATAAGGTGGGAACAGGGTCCACGTCTTGAATGGGTCAGTGCATGGGCCATGAGAGATCTGGCTTCTAGGCCTAGCTCTGCCCTAGACCTTAGCCATGCGCCGTGCCTCAGTTTCCCCGCCCAGTGTCTATTCAGAGGGCAAGCTCTGCGAGGCAGGGCCTGGCTCTCTCAGAAATCTTCTCCGTATGGGTTTCAATTCTCCTGCGGCACTTCAAGGAGACCAAATGCCCCAGTTAGGGCAGTAGAAATATCCAGCTCCCGGGTCAACTGTCTCCATACGGGAAGGGGTCTCAGTGCTCTGGATCTAAGACACCTTTATGGCAGCCTCCGGGCAGGTCTACACTGCAGGCCCTAACGAGGCTGCGGCAGCACCGTAGGTATTCGCCGGGGCACAGCACCAGAGATGCTGAGGGGGGTTTCCAGAGCTGTGCGTAAGCCACCTCCTGGAGAGATGGCAGCCAGGGAGATGGAAGCTGCTCCCATTGCCCGACCCGTGTCTACATGGGGGGGCTCGGTCAGTGGAGCTTTGGAGATGAGGGGGTGCTACCCCACCCTCTCCCCCTCCCCCCATCCCAATACACAGCAGCACTGAGCTAAATGTAAGTGTAGGCCAAGCCCCGCTGTGTCTGTAGCAGGAGTAGCAACAAAAACTCCCATTGCAAACCCAGGCAGAGTCGGTGCCGGAAGCAGGCTCATGTATCCATGCAGCCAGCGCCTGGCACAGCAAGATCCTGATTTCGTTACTATGTGTCAGTGCAGAGCCCAGAACAGCAAGTCCCTGATTGTGTTACAATGTGTCTGGGTGGCACCCGGCCCGACGGGGCCCTGATCTCGGTCACTGTGTGTCTGGGCGGCGCCCGGCCCGACGGGGCCCTGATCTCGGTCACTGTGTGTCTGGGCGGCGCCCGGCCCGACGGGGCCCTGATCTCGGTCACTGTGTGTCTGGGCGGCGCCCGGCCCGACGGGGCCCTGATCTCGGTCACTGTGTGTCTGGGCGGCGCCCGGCCCGACGGGGCCCTGATCTCGGTCACTGTGTGTCTGGGCGGCGCCCGGCCCGACGGGGCCCTGATCTCGGTCACTGTGTGTCTGGGCGGCGCCCGGCCCGACGGGGCCCTGATCTCGGTCACTGTGTGTCTGGGCGGCGCCCGGCCCGACGGGGCCCTGATCTCGGTCACTGTGTGTCTGGGCGGCGCCCGGCCCGACGGGGCCCTGATCTCGGTCACTGTGTGTCTGGGCGGCGCCCGGCCCGACGGGGCCCTGATCTCGGTCACTGTGTGTCTGGGCGGCGCCCGGCCCGACGGGGCCCTGATCTCGGTCACTGTGTGTCTGGGCGGCGCCCGGCCCGACGGGGCCCTGATCTCGGTCACTGTGTGTCTGGGCGGCGCCCGGCCCGACGGGGCCCTGATCTCGGTCACTGTGTGTCTGGGCGGCGCCCGGCCCGACGGGGCCCTGATCTCGGTCACTGTGTGTCTGGGCGGCGCCCGGCCCGACGGGGCCCTGATCTCGGTCACTGTGTGTCTGGGCGGCGCCCGGCCCGACGGGGCCCTGATCTCGGTCACTGTGTGTCTGGGCGGCGCCCGGCCCGACGGGGCCCTGATCTCGGTCACTGTGTGTCTGGGCGGCGCCCGGCCCGACGGGGCCCTGATCTCGGTCACTGTGTGTCTGGGCGGCGCCCGGCCCGACGGGGCCCTGATCTCGGTCACTGTGTGTCTGGGCGGCGCCCGGCCCGACGGGGCCCTGAT